AAGACTTGAAGGAACGCACTACGCACCAAGTCACGGCTCTCCTAATGCTAGCCTCTTCTGTCCCATTCTTTACCCTCCTCATCTTGCTTTCACCAAAGATTGACACGACACTTCTCGCATGACATAGCTTTCGCAGGTGAGACCTTGCTTTGACTGTTTGCAGCGAATGGACAAGATCCCGAGTGATCGAACTCAGACTCGTGAATTTGGCATAGTGGATATTGCATTCATGTGAGATAACCGTACAGCGGCATGAAGGGTGGCCATGGGAGATGGTGGTGGTTGCAACCGAGGATAGAGTCTCTTTGGCGCCTAGGGAGAGGCAGCGCTCAGTTTTGAACTTGTCGCTTCCGGCAGTTTCTTTGCCCACAAGACCGTTGAAGGCACTGACCTACATGCGTCGACTCTCGTCCCATACTTCGTCAACAGTATCATGACCTGCATCACCACCGCGTCTTCGTTTAGGTGAGAAAGAGTTAACCAGGAGCGAGCCGGGGCTGCCAGAGCGCCACAATGTCATCGTGTACGCATGGCATTGATGCGCCCTTCGGAAACTAGCCAAGGTGCGTCAATACATCGCCCTCAATTGCGGCGCGGAAGGCTGCTTTCGAGGTATGATCAGCATTTGACTGGTACTTTCGATTGGCATCGTGACAGGACGGCGCCCTCTGTATCTGGAACTACTCCGCGTTACCCCTCAAACTCTGTACTGCCAGAGGCCTGCGTCTTGTACGAACATGGAGCTGCACTCCGCTCGGTGGTTATTATTTTGCTTCGTATACACCGTCATTTGCGGTCACGGGCACGCACATTGTGCCACACCCATGCCGTATTCAGTACCTCTTTTCGGTCATGAGTCAAGCGGCACAGCTGTCGTGCAGCGGCCTCGCTTTAGGCCACACTCAAGCAATTATGCCTTCCTAGATGAACGCTAACGTATCTACACAGCCCTCGATTCCGCGATACGCCTGGGCGACACATTGATCGTACATCGACAATAGACGGGACTACTCTCTTTTCGCAAGGACGCCGTGGTGGTGCTTGGGCCCGCATGGATTCCGCATGCTTTCAATATGCGTTTCATGGGCCATGGTATCCGCGTGGTGCTACCCCAACGCGAGGTACATATACCATGAATTGCAACTGGTAAGGCCTGTTAACCTACCACCTACAAAGCAACTCCTCCGACAGATATGGGCACAAGTGCAGACTCTAAAGTATCGAAAACTGACTCGGCCACCATCGTGTATGTTCCACATTCTTGTCACGAAGTGCTGGGCTAATCTTCAGTTAGCGTCATGGGCGCGACCGGCGCGGGCAAGTCAACGGTAAGTGTACCAATGTTCGCCGTAGCACGTGCCTCCACAGCTGCTGAGACTTCTTGTCTAAAAGTTTATCAACCTCGTAAGCAACTCTAAATTCGAGGTCGGCTATGGCCTTGAGTCGTGTACCTCCGAAGTCGACGTCGCTGCACCATTCATGTTGGATGGCAAGCCGGTCACTCTCATCGACACTCCGGGGTTTGATGATACCGTTAAGACCGAAGCAGAGATTCTACGACTCATTGCTGAATTTCTATCCGTGACGTACGCTCTGTTTCCTAATTGCCGGCGGCTTGAAGCTAACATGTTTTGTAGGTACAAGCAAGGACGCACACTCCATGGCATCGTCTTCCTGCAGCGCATCACTGATACCCGCATGGGCGGTGTCGCACGCAAGAACTTCCGCCTTTTTCGCAAGCTCTGCGGCGACGACACCCTGAGGAACGTCATCATCGCCACGAACATGTGGGGCAACGTCGAGCCTGCCCTCGGTGCCTCACGAGAGCGCGAGATGGCGGAGAGCGACCTGTTCTTCAAGCCCGCGCTCGAGAAGGGTGCACATATGGTGCGGCATGACAACACCATCGAGTCTGCGCACCGCATCATCCGCGAGATCATCGGCTTCCCGCCCGCACCGCTGCAGATCCAGCGCGAGACGGTCGACCAGCGCAAGCCGCTCGCAGAGACGGGCGCGGGACAAGACCTCAGGGCTGATCTCGAGCAGCAAGCAGGGCAGCACCGGGCGGAGCTCGCGGGCCTGCGCAGCAGCATACAAGAGCTCGTCGAGTCCAAGGACGCCAGGAATCGTGGCGAGATCCAGGAGCTGAACGACTCGTTACGGGACGTGCAGACCAAACTCGCGAAAGTGCAGGCTGAAGCACATAACCTGCGCGAGGAGCACGAGGCAAGTCGGAACGAGCATGAGGAGAAGATACGGCAAATGACGGAGGTAATGACTGTGCGCGAGACCGAGCTGCGCGGCCTGCAGGAGCACGCGCAGACGCAGAAGACGCAGCTCGTGCAGATGGAGAGCGCCCTGCATGAGGCGGAACGCCGTGCGGAGGAGGCCACCACCGCTGCGGCTGCAGCTGCAAAGCAACGACCGCCACCGCGGCCACGGTCACGGTCACGAGGAGGGCTCTGTATTTTGCAATGAAGGCGCGTTATTAACAAAGCGCAAAGCAGACAAGTTTTCATCTCTGTAAAATTACTGTGATCCTGTGCAAATCGAGAGCGTAATGTATATCGTATGCAGATAATTAAACTTAAATGGACTACATTACTTCAAGCTTCAAGTTGCGCATAGCATGACTTACAAACTATCGGCGACTCGGACGATCCACCCTGAGACGCCGAATTAATTAATGTGTTTATTGAGATAATGACATCCAGCCGCTAACAAAAGATTGATCTCAATACTGACATACTGAATAAGAAATTGTCGCAGCCGACACTGTCTAATCTCGATAGGGCGAGAGCGAGAGAACAATGAACCGACGACGCGACGCGTCAGCGGCAATTAGTAGGCGCGATTTGGCGCTCGCCCAGATGCGCTCCCGCTCCTTGGTTCTGACAATTATTCTTGGTTTTGGACTTGAGATGACTTGGTTAGCATCGACCTCCGGTAAGCACTCGAGTTATATACGCTACCTTCATGTTGGCTCTTGACGCAGGCTGGTATCAATGCTAACTCCCTAACTCTCTGAACTCCGAGTCGAACGTCTACAGCTTCAAGTTGTTAACCTTTCTCAAGCCTCAAGCTGGCATTGAGCAGTCCTGATTCGGAAACTTCACCGCTACATAACTTGAAGGACGTCACGAGCGCTGGAGCTCGTAGTGCCCTAAGCCTCGGCAAATGAATTAACGTCAGCACACGCGCGGTCGTGCGCCATGCGACATCCAGGAGGGAAGGCATATTCAATCCAACTCTACCGACGTGTTACTGCTCACAGCCGGCAATGCAGGCCCTAATGTTCGTGGCATCCACATATTCAGCTGTAGCACAACTATTTTCAAGTCGTTGTCCGTTGATCTTTCTGTCTCAGCACTCGATGGGATGCTGTCCACGTCAATCTTGACATAGACCTGCCATATGACATATACAACCATACGCAGAGTAGCACGCTGATTGACATATATGAAACATAGGCTGCACGATCCTCGGTACGATGTCGACACTTCTCTGTTTCCCGTCCTCTCCTGATGACAAATAAATAGCATCTACAGTCAGAATTCCCCTCTATACTCCGAGCACTACGAACACCTCTGCCTAGCTGAGTTAGGCGCATTATAGTGCAGCACCGTTCGTATAAGACTCATGCACCACGCGTGCCGCAGCCCCAAGCTCCTTCGCAAGCTCCGTGCCCACCGTCTTGCTCAGGTGCATGCGCCCATCGTGTTAGGTTGACACACCATGTCTTCAAGGTGATCGTTGAATGAAAACGGCGGCACTGCGTGCCCGAGGCAAAACTTCGCCATAGGTGCATCGCGCTTATGTGGAGAGCAAGATCGCCGGATATGAAGACGTACATGCGCTCGTTCTCCCAGTGCTGCTATCCGAGCCCGGCGGGCACCCCTACCACGTGGGTGTGCTGTCGTGGTGCATAACGTGTGGCTCATTTTTTGTAGATGAAAGGCACCGTAAGTCCAGGAGTCCGTCCCGAACGCGGTTTCACTAGAGACGGCGCAGCCAGCTGCCGGAGAATATCACGACCGCCTCTCATTCGGTGAGGAAAGAAATGACTCTCTCTCTATTCAGGAAAGCCATTCAAAGTGCATTCTAGTATGCTTGCCCACCATTCAGATATATTCAAGGGGGGCGTAGGTGCACCTACCGGCTCGAATCTACAGGAGAAGCCGAACAGATACCCGGTCTTGCGGATGGGCAGGTGCTCGCGCATCTGCTGCAGAACATGTATGACGTATGGGGCACACTGGATTCCTTTTTGTCACACTTTGGTACTCATACGCTGCGAGTCTACCACAGCTACTGATGCCGGTGTAAGAGAGCCCTATTGACTTTCGCGTCCTGCGGCTAGTCATCCCCCCGGCCATGGATTTTATGGCGCTCTCTGGCGTTCGATACGGATCTGAGTAAGTGTATTCTTTCTCCCGCCCTTGCTACTAGCCGGAATATTCCATGAGCACGAGCAGTATCTCGAACATACCGACTCGTATGTACGCGGGCATGAAGTCGTACCAGCCAGGAGCGGGTCCCAGTCAATCTACGCGCGCTATCCACTTCCTCTGCGGTCCTGCGGGAGCGCATCACACTAGCAATCCGATGAGAAGATTCAAACACAATTTTTTCAGTTAATAGGTAGAATTTCCATTCGAACTGACTGGTCTTGTGCTGTACTCTAAACCACGTCTACCCACTCGATATCTCCCGACATGCCCAAAAGCTGCGTTTTGGAGGTAAAGATCTCTTTGAACGCATCTTTATGTTCCTTGTGGACGTAGAAAGTGATCTCGATATCATCTTTGTGTCGCCTACTCCATGTCCCGTCTGGCTGTCGTGTAGGATTGGGTCGGAATATCTTCACAAACCGAGGCTCGTTCAGGATCGTATGGTAGAATCGCGTTTGGTCAGGGAACCCGAAATGCGCCGACGTCCAGTCGAAACTAAAGCCGCCGCACGATATTAGCCGTAACAAAGTGAATGAACAATCTAATCAGCGCTCACCGCCAGTTTGAATTCACCACCATGTGCCCCGGCCGCTGTCTGAAGTCCTGTGCAAGTTCTGCGTTGAGAAATTCAACAGCTTTCGCCCCGCTTGCTGCATCGGAGGCGGCGGCATATCCGGGCTCTCGAAGACGTATAAGTGAATTGCGAATGCGGAGAGCGATGGTGAAGAGTGTCTCCTTGTCGAAGTCCTCCGCCGCGTCAGTCATAGGCCATAAAAGAAAGTTGCCAATACAGTGCTTTGGCCGTGGGACTATGCCGCGGGTCTGGACAGACGTCAGCACAGTCAGGAAAAGCGTGACTCCAATACTGTAAACAAACCATTAGGATGTTGTATACATGCTGGATTGGCGGGTTCTCCGGATCCGACTTCGACGTACAGTAAACCAGCAGCGCCGCTAGACAGTCCTGCCTAGACAGGATAGGCGGATTGGGATCCAGACACTGCGCCAAGACACCTTTATGCAGTTCCACAGTCTGCGATGCCGCGAGACGAATATCCAAGCGAACCGCTCTCTCGCGTCGAGGCTCAAGTGGGGGCGGGACGCCCCGCAGAGGATAGGAGTGGTTGCAGGGGGGAGCAGGGACTTCACCGTAGTCAGCGGGGTTGAAAGGATAGTGAGGAATCGGGTCGTAGGATGGCAGAGGATCCAAGGGCTCGAGACCTTGGTAGTTTTGAGAGAGAAGTCGTATAAACGACAGCACTGCGAAACCATCACCTAAAGATGCACTAAGTTATCTGGGTCATTCATTGACTCACGAGAACCGCGAACCAATAAGATGCGACAAAGAAATGCCGATACAAGTGTTGCCTGTTCTCGTAAAGCGGGTGATGGTCACCTTAACGAGAGGCTCGTCCGAGTCGTAGTCCAAGTATTTGATAACATTAACCCCTCTTGTAAGTGTCCACGGGCTTTGTACAATGGTATCATTTGGGACCTCTTTTTCCGCGTCGCTCTCGATTACGGCGACTGGCACTCCGTGATTTCCGAGACTGACCTATAGCAACAGGTTCAGCCGTAATTTAACAACAGATTCGTACAGCATCCATCTTATCCTACCTTCCATGTATCCTTTGGGTCCGTCGGGCGTACAATACGACCAGCATGGACCGGGTAGGCCTGCAGGGTTTTAGCAAGCGCATCCTTAAATTGGCCCATGTCGATAGCACCCGGCACGATGTGCGCAGTGTCGATCTGTGCAAGATTTGCAATACGCTCAGCTCTTTGGAACAGACGCACGCTCCAGAATCTTTACTCACTTTTTGGCACATCCAGAGGTCATTCGGAGATAAGGCATAGTAAGGCTGCCCTTCAAGAACGGTTGGCTGCTTGGCTCTTACTATGTGCATCGTCATCTGTATAAAGAGCAGGTGGGGGTATGTGTGCTATACTGATTTTCGTCTGCATGGCGGTGTATTATACGGCAAGAGCAGTGAGACATCGCACGGCGCAGAGCACACTAACACCATCATTGCATTGGTAAGATTGTTGTCGTGCTGACCGAGGCGCCGATATCTTTCGCCAATCGGAGGTTAGGCCTCGCCGAGTAGGCCGTGTTGGGGGAAGCGGCGGGCCGACTTCAGGAGTAATTCCTGTCGCAAAGCCTGAATACTGTATAGCCGGCGTAAAGTCAAGCTCAGCGACAAGGAACACGATTTCACGCGGTAGCACCTGCCCTAGAACCTGGGCTGACTTAATACTGTAGGCTGCCTTTGCAGGCCCCTAGGCGTTTTCGATGAGCGCTGCGGGTAGGAGGAAGTTCCTGTTCGCAGCGCACCGAGGCGAGGTGCTTCATCTGAACGAGGGTGACATAATACCGTGTCTTGCCGTACGATGTTACTCATCAGCAAAAAAAGACGTTGATTACAATTACTTACCATTAAAGCGCAATATGCCGCACAAGCAGAGAGTCGGGATGTTCTTCGTCAGATTCAGCCAGGAGGTCACGTGCGTCCTGCGCCCTGTTTCAGCAAGGAATGCGACACGTCGCGGCGCGGAACGAGCCTAGCCCGTCGACTACGAGTTCCCTCGGGTTCCTCGTATCCCTCGGAATCGGGGTCACGTGGTTCGGGACGCCTGGTTAAGTCCACGGCGAGTGGCGATTGCTCGTCCTGTGGTTCCGACCGAGGAACACCGCTGTGCGTGGCGCTGGCACCTTTGCTGCAGCTGTATTCTCTGGTAGAATCTCTACAACCGTCGCTTCTGACAGTTGCCGTCGTCAAAGGTGGTGCGGTGATCGTATGGTGCGTCGTCGCCATCAGGCCAGCCGCTCATGATCACTCGACCGCACTCTCCAGGGGGAGCGTCTGAGAGAGCATGCATATCGCCCTGTCGATGATATCTTTGACTTGGTACTTTGCAGCGATGGCGACAACCGCGCGGAAATCGATGTATGCAATCGGTGGCCTCCTACTGTTCAGCCACTCACTGCATCCGGTATCTTTTAAGACATCTTGGCAAAAGAGTCGGGCAATATTCACCTAGTACGTTCGTTGCATATGAGGCCAAACACGCTGTGGAAGTCGGTGCCTTTGTCTTCCACAGGTGGGATCACAAGACAGCCCTCGAGCTTTTCAGGGAGCTACACGTGGGTCGAGCAGCTCAGGAGCTTTTCGAAACGGTGCATCATAATAATACCCGTATGCACCTCAAAAGTCTTGTCCTTGGCTATAGTGATAACATCGCCCTCGTTCAACTGCAAAACCCCGCACCGCTCGCCGAGCTCTAGCACGACCCGTCTAGCATCTTCACGCTCTTCTGGCCCGATCTTTCTCTTTTGTGGGGAAAGCCTACCTCTCCCGCATAAGAGTGGCAGCTGGCATACCTGAGAACTCGGAAGTCTTCTAGAAGTGCATCACGTTCGACAACGACTAGGAATAGAGTTAATAAAGCTTAAAGCTTGACGAAAGGGCATGCAGGCATCATGAATCGAACGTAAGCCTGCTTACTAACGTCAATTGGCGTCTAGCAGTGTGCGGCGCTCTCAACATCAACCGCGCGCTCTGCCTCCATGGCAAGCAGCACTCGCAGTCGTAGTCACGAGGAAGACTTGGAACTTCCAAACAAGAGACGAAAAGTCGAGGATGACGAGCTACAAATCGTACCATAATCCCCCAGTGAGGCCCCTCTGCCGAATTTGATCGCTGAATGCAGCAGCGAGTTTTGGTTCGAACGCGGGGACGTCGTAGTCTCTGCACTTGGGATGGCTTTCAGGGTACATTCCGATATCTTCAGTCGGCATTTCGAAGACTTCCGCAAGCTGATGAGCAGCTCCGCGCTCGCAGCGCTATCTGAGTCGCTCGATGGCTGTCCCGTGTTGCGGACCACGGACAGCGGGACATATCTGTCCAAGCTCGTGGGGATATTGTACGATGGAGGTGCTAGGTACATTTTTTGGGCTGTCGGCTGAGCTACAGCATATTCAACCTGTGATTTGTCTCTACCTAGTGACTGGTTCCATCGCAAGATGACAACTGTCCCCTTCGATGAATTACGCGGGATCGCTATTGTCGCAGCGAGATACAAAGTGCGTGCCGTCATCGATGAGGTTCTAGCCCGACTTTCGCAGTGCTTCCCATCGAGCGATCTATCGAGGTTCAATGGCAACCTGGACTTCAGCGGCTGGCCCAACCCACCCATCGGCATTCGGCAGGAGGACGCTATTGCTGCTGTAAAGCTGGCAAAGCTACTAGAAGCTCCCTTTCTACTTCCCGCAGCATTTGCAGTATGCGCAGGAATCGATTACGACTGCCTCGTGAAAGGTGTCGTGTACGGAGACGAAGTCGTGCGCCTTGACGACGAGGAGCTTCTTTCATGCCTTGGCGGACAGGGCTTGCTGTTGGAGGAAAATACACAAGTCATGAAGACGCTCTTGGAGTTCATTGTTGCAGCCCCTTCGTCCCTCAAGGACAAATGTCGCAATCGCTCAGATTGCAACGTTGCGATTGGGAAACTTGCGCTTTCAGCTGTTGAGATAGGCCATTTTGCAACTCCATGCGCTTTGGATCCCATGGACGGCTGGTTTTCCGACGTGTATCAGGCACGGCCGGATCTGAAGCCGTGCACTCATTGCCAGAAAGCGCTGCAGAACACCGTTAACAAACGGCGGGAGGAGACATGGCAAAAACTTGGAGGGATTTATGGTGTGGCACCATGGCCTGTCGCTAACAAGTGATGTGATATTTATGCAGTAACTAGTACCTGTATCCGGATGAGAATGCATCGTTCACAGCGTTACTGCAGCTGGTTCGAGCCGTCTTCGTCACTGGCATGAACTGTTCCGTCTACCCCTTCTGATGCATGTGTCTCAACCTTGCCAGAGGCTTGAGTTTGGCTTACCTTCATCATGCAGACATGGTTTCGCGCAAGTACTGGCTGCTCTAGGCATAAATTAGTGGCGCACGACATGATCTGTTGTTCATTACTATGAACATGATAGTTATTTGTTTTGGCGACATGTAATGATTAATTTGATAAGGTAGAAAGTAAATTATCCGGATCCGAAACCTTGATGCCCGCTCTACGCGAGCGCGCCGTAAACGCACGACCTAGTATCGGTCTCTCTTGGTATGCCCAACCGTTACCAGTTTGCTTTCCTCGCATCGTTCGTTGGCGTATTATCGGGTCTCTTCCTCGTCTCCAACTTCATCAAAGCAAAACTTAAGGCCGCAGGCTACGATCCCGCTCAGCTCATTCTCATTGGTCTTCCCAAGGACGAGAACAGCACACCGTCGCCTCTGCCTTCTTGGCTGTCTTCTGAGAATTCCGAAATGTTCGCCCAACTGTTTGCTCTGGTTCTCGCCGCGTTGACGTCAGCCGCTATCTTCTACAAGTTTGGCATGAGTACGTGCATCGCACTCTGCTGTCTCACGCACACTGCTCACATTTCGACGTGTCAGAGAGGAAGCCAGCGCTGAACCCGGACAAATGGCAGGAGTTCCAGCTGAAAGAGAAAGTTATCATTTCCTCGAACACTGCTATGTATGTTTTTCTTCTTCCAGAGCTTTGAGGCGCGCGCTGAAGGGGACGACAGCTATCGCTTCGCTCTGCCTCATCCCCAAGATGTTCTCGGCCTCCCCATCGGCCAGCACATCTCCGTTCAAGCTGAGATCAACGGCAAGGATATCATGCGCAGCTACACTCCCACCAGCAGTGACGACGACCTTGGTCACTTTGACCTACTCGTCAAGGTATGTGCCACGATATCACGTCTTCTATATTGCGCTATGCGACGGGCTTTTGTAATTATGCCAAGAGCGGGCGGCATGGATGTTAGGACGCGTAAGCCCAGCCTCGAGTCGCGACCGCTCTGGTCGCAGAGCGGCATCTGAGACCCTTTGTGACCGGCCCTTGTGCGTCGCCGGCTTGGAGGTCGAGGCCCTCAAATCATCGCACAGACCCCGGGGTACGCGCTCTGTGTAGGTAACACGCATGGTTGGCGCGATTGATATTCTGCGCGTCCGGCAGAGCATTTATCTCTGCCGGTGTTTGGCTGCTGTCGTAGTTGCGAGATGGCACAAATGTTCGCGCTCGGGTATCGCTGGTGTGTCGCTTCTCTAGGTTCGCAAGTAAGGGGTGCTTTGGACCGCGTCGGACGCGCTACTACGTGATCATTACTACAGCTGCGTTTGCTATGTCTCTCAACTCGCGTTATGGGCTTACATATTCTGTTCTGCTACGTGAACGCCCTGCTGACTCTGCGCTCCAGGCTTATGAAAAGGGTAACATCTCTCGGTACATTTCTCTGCTCAAGATTGGCGACAAGATTCGCGTCAAGGGACCCAAGGGCCAGTTCACCTACTCGCCAACGCTTTCCCGCCACCTCGGCATGATCGCAGGTGGCACTGGCATTACACCCATGCTCCAAATCATCCGTGCTGCGCTCAAGAATCCGGCGGACAGGACGAAGCTGAGCCTCATCTACGCGAACGTCAACTTCGAGGACATTCTACTCAAGAAGGAGCTCGACCTTCTCGCTCAGAACCACAAGGACCGCTTCACGGTATACTACGTCCTCAACAACCCTCCCGCGAGCTGGAACGGCGGCGTCGGTTTTGTGTCGAAGGAGCAGATCCAAGAGCACATGCCATCCTCGAGCGAGGACATCAAGGTCCTCATGTGCGGGCCGCCGCCGATGATGACAGCCATGAAGTAAGCTTTTTCATGCTGTGATCAAGGATTGGGCTGACAGATCTCTGCAGAAAATGCCTTGCAGAGCTCGGCTACCCTGCGCCGCGCACGGTCAGCAAGCTCGTAGACCAGGTAAGGTTTTAAGTTCATCTTTACACCCGCAGCACGCTCAGAGCGCTTCTAGATCTTCCTCTTCTGAGTTAGAAGATTTCAGATATGCGTGTGCTAGAATCTATGTGAATACGATTTAATGGAATACATCGGTTTGCCTTGATTGTACTTACTGGCACAGTCCGGACAAGCGAGCATGTGCCTCATCTCCACCTAGACGCCCTTGGCCACAAACTCGCCAACACGCGACCGATCTGTCTCACCCTGTCCTCATCTGCTTAGCTCCATCCTCCCTGCGGCGTGCCGCCACGAACGCGACCAGCACCAGCACAGCCCGCCGCAGCGTGGTGACTGGCTGATGGGCCACAGCGGAAGCATCTGCCGCCGGCAGTCGAGATCTGGGGTTTCACGATATGCTCCCCTTCGCCATCGTTGATCGTGGCACTGCGCATCGAACACCAGTGCACCGCCCCCCGTGCCGCGGAGTTCTCGCGCTGCGTTGTGGCGTGTCCTGAAGATGTGATGTTCGTGCGCTGTCGGCTGGCGCGGCCGTCGCCGGTCGTGCGGGCAGCTGTGGGACCGCGGGCGGCGGAGAGCTTTGTGCGGGTGTGCACGATGGACGGCGGCGAAGAGTAGGAACAATGATGTGCGTGACGTTTTTGCCATGCTGGCAAGGCAGCACGGGGACTGTCTCAAAGTCTGGCGCGGACATTCTTCATGTGCTTCTGGATGATGGTACGCTGGCTCGGTTCCCGAAGGGACAGAGGTCCTCGAAAAACACACCCCCACCCGTCGCCCGCACGGGGTGCCAACTAGCTGCCGGTAGAAAGGGTCGCAAGATTGAAATGTATGCGCCGCACTTTGTCCGTCGCTGGTCCTGGTGACCTGAGACCAGAGACGGCACTCTGCTTATGCAGGCGTGTGCAGATGGGATGCACTGCTGATGTGCTGCTTGCCCCCACGGGCGGGCTGGAACCCGCTCTGAGCCAACTTGTCCCTCCGCACTGCGGACCAGACATGCGAAGACTTGGACATAGCAACGGCCATCTGCGCGATGTTGGCCGCCCCGCCAAGCTCGCGGTGAATGCGCGTTTATCCCTCAGCTGCACACACGCTCGCCGCCCTGGGTTTGGTAGAAGCTCTTGTATTTGGTTGATTGTAACGCATAAATATTACAGGCATCTGGTATCTACGACAGTCTAGGCTACAATGGGATGAATAGCTTCTTCGATGATGACGAGAACGTTACAAGAGTATATTAGCACGGAGGGGGGCTCGTCGCGGCTGACGGGCCCGCACATGCGTGCGAGGAGGGAGGGGGGAGAAGAGGGACCCTTCGCGACGACAGCCCAAAGCAAGAAACATATAAAAGATACGGAGAAAGCAGAGAGAAGACATGTAAAAACTATGGTACTATAAGCACAAGAAACGCCAGGGTAGCGTCCGGATGAGATACGATAGGAGCATACAAAGAAATATCCCGTCCTAGAGCCAGGCATACATTAAGGGTTGTAGATGAGACCGAGTGCGTCATGTTAGTTTGCCGTCGCGGGCGCACAACCCGTGCCAGACGTCGGTCGGTGCGCCGATCGTGGTGTCGGAGCGGGAAGGTCGTTACATGACTATGCCGCCGCTCCAGTTGGCGTCGGGATCGGGCTTGAGCGAGGAGGACGAGGTAGAGCCGTCCGATTCCGTAACCTCGTCGCCGTTAGGCCGCATCTCCTTCTGGATCTTACGACACTCAGCGCCTCCTTCAGAGCGCACTGTCGGAGGCAGCGTCAGCGTCGAGGACATGAGGACGAAAGGCCATAAGAATACTCACAGTGCCGGTTGAGCGCATCCATCCGAGCAAAGTTCTTCTTGCATCCCTCGCAGGGGTACGGACGGATATTGAGATGGAGCTGCTCGTGCCGCTTGCAGTCGTGCTGTCGCGCGAAGCCCTTGCCACAGCCCGGCCACTTGCACTGGTACGGCTTCTCCTCGGCGTGCGAGCGCAGGTGCCCCTTGAGGTTAAAGTGGCGGGTGAAGGTGCTGCCGCACCCCGGGACAGGGCACGCGAAGTTCGCGGGCTGCTTCCTGCGCTTCTGACTCGCGTCTGCCGTGCTCGGCGTCGTCACGTTCACCTTCGTGATCGTCATGGCCTCCGTGCCGACGCCGACCTGCATGTTCATGCCCGCGCCGTCCATCAGACTGCTGAGAGGCATGCCCAAGTCAGCGCTCATCGGGTGACGCTGCGTCGGGATGCTCATGCCCAGTTCAGGCCCGCTGGGGAGCGGATGATAGCCCGGCCGTGGGCTGGCGCTGGGGCTCGGGTACGGGCTGGCACGAGAGCTGCCGACGCCGTTGTTCCATCCCAACGGCCGTTCGCGAGAGCCCGACGACGAGCGCCGGTGGTGACCCTGGCGGATGGATGGGATGATGGTCTGGGTAGGGTGGAGGTATTGCTGTCGGTTGGCGTTGCGGAGGAACTCTTGAGCAGACTGCCCCACCGGGGGATACAGCGTCGCGGACGAAAGAGACGGCGAGAGTGTATGCCGCAGATCCTCGGAGCGCACTTGACGGTGCCCAAAGCCGCCGCCGGTACGCATGCCATCGGACTTCGCCCGCCGAAGGCCTGTGGCGCCAATATCGGCAGACAAGAACCCGCTGGATCCGTATGACAGATTGGTGTTCGGTGGACCGAAGGAGTTGTGCTGCTGTAGTCGGCCAGGTGGTGCGAGGGACTGGCCGAAGGACGCCTGGTGAGGACTCGCGGATGAAGGCAACTGCTGGGTTCGCATCATTGGCGACGGCGACGGCGAGACCGACCCCGGACCTGGGAGCACATCGTTCATGTTGACAGTGTTGTTCGACATCGGTGTGGTATCCCAAATTGGAGGGCGGAGAGAGGTGTCGGAGAGGCTTCTGCTGCGAGCGAGGGGTACCTGAGGGACAAGGAAGCTCTGTTGCTGTGGGCGAGATCGTATGGGTGGTGATGATGAATCCTGAGGCATGGGCGCATAGGACATCCCCGGTGACGAGTGATTTGATCCGGGATAGAAAGGCTGAGACTGATCGGTGTATTGGGAGGCAGACGCCATGGGCTGATTGGCCGCCTGGCGATTCAGATGCCGTGGGTGATCCCAGCTTTGCTGGTTGGTCTCCTGCGTGTTCCCTGAAACGACAGGAGAGATCAGCGGTAGGTCAATGCTTCCCATGCGCGTAAGATGAGAGAGAGAGGCACTGCATAGCAACAAGACAAAGCGTCGCCCGCATTAAATCGACGGGCGGTGGCGCAAGTGCATCTTCCGACGCCAACGCCAACGCCAACGCCGACGCCGACGCCAACCTAGTGGGCACGGCCGTTGCGGTAGACCGAACTAGCGAGCGTGATGCGAAAGATGTGACCATCACATAGGCGTGACAAAACCCCACGCTAGGGGTTACGTTCGCGCTAAGCCCGCGACCAGGTCCGCAGCGTCGAGGAGACGGAGGAGACATAACAACAAGCGGAGCAGAAGACAACAAGTAGATGATACGCACTTTGCTGGAGGAACGGGACGCTCTGTGTAGTTCCGCCACCACCACTGATCGGCGTCGCGGGAACGATATGCAGCTGGGGTCCGGTCAGCATACCGTCGCCTTCCGGAGCGTTGATCGTCGGCGGCTCGTCATGGACGGTCGTCGCCGGACTCGAGATGTCTGGGATGACAAGCTGGGGAGGAGACTGCGTCTTTTGTTGCGCCGGTGGCGAACGCCTGTCTGGGGGCAGCCGAGAGGTCGACCAGCTCGGTGACTCGAAGTGCATGCTCTCAAAGTTCTGGGTGAAATCGTTGAGAGGCGGCGAGTTTGGAGGCATGTAGGAGGAGGATGAGGAAGCTCGAGAGCGGTCGTCGTCTGCGCCGTTACTCGACGCAGGAGAGGCGTGATCGTAAGCGGAGGGCGACGGGGCGTTGTCGTAGGAAGGCGGTGTGATCGACACTGAGACTTGCGTATTCGCAGAGTCTATTGTGGACATGTAATGTTCGTCGAAAGTGATGAGTCCGGAGCTGTTCGGTATGTCGTACTCGGCTGGGTCGTACTCCTCCGTTATCGAGATGCCGGACGGGTTCTCGTCGAACAACGCCAGAGGGTCGGAGCCGTCGGGATTATCAAAGTTTGGCAGGTCCGAGAGCACCGAGTAGGGCGAGTTCTGGTAAGAGCCGTTGTAAGATGGCGTGTGTGGAAAGTGACCGTTGTCCTGAGGGTAGTCCTGATCGAACGCGAAAGAGTCAACGAGGTAGGGCGACTCGGAGTGGTTTATGTCGAAGTGCGCGGAGTTCGACGAGGGCTGAAAGTCGTGCTGCTCCTGTATGTACGGAGAGGACGTGACGAGGAGGGGATCCATATTTGCTAGGGCTATGGTTTATGATACTTGAGGGAGAGGGGATGATGCTGGTTGTTTGGCAAAGGCAGGGTTGGTATAAGTGCTGGAATGGAATAACCTGACAAGTTATCTGTGATGACCAGAGGAAATTGAGAGTCGATGCGGTTACTGGAGGCTGTGGTCGAAGTGAGAGGGACTAGCCGCCTCAGCTCGCAGACCTGGACGGAATCGCAAACAGGAGCTTACGAAATTGACCCAATCAACCAAACTTTGAAAGTCCGCTTACCCGCCGTCAGCGACATCTCAGCCCACGTTTAATCCCGAATAAACCAGGGAAATAATTGCTCGTTGTCTACAGCGTCGAGGACGCACGTATCCGGAAACCCTGCGTCATGAGTATGCTGTACAACGTCTGTCCGGGTCGAAACACTGCCTCAGCCCTCGAGGCGATGCTCAGTTCGGGCGCCTAATGCTACCAATCCCGGAAGTTAGCCGGCCACGTGAGCCTGGGCGACGCTCCCGAAGCATGCCTGGGACTGCCACCACCCGCCGACGCATCCGCCCGCCTCCTCTCGCGCACGTCTATCACACGCAGTATGCTTCATATCCCACTCCACTCCATCCAGAACTGACGAGAAGCGTTTCATGCAGAATGTCTCTCCCTTGATGCATCCGTATCATCTCTATCACGGACTGTCGCCAAACAAGTTCTCAAGCTCGTCAACCTTCGAGGCCGGTTTTGGCTCCAAGTCGTCGGGAACGGATCTTCACACAACAACAAGACAGGCCGACAGCACCAGTATTTCCTACTCAAGCTTGCTAGAACATCAGCTCTCTCTCTCGCTCGAGACTCGGCGGCCACCGAAAGATTTGAGAGACCGGATGTTGTCGTGCTTTACAACGACAGGGCGTCGGCTGTCGGCTCCAGGAAACCCTACTACTGCCCATGCGGACCACGATCGGGATTGACGTACTGTGCACAGCACTCATTACTGCAGCACAGCTGTTACCGCCTTCCTGGATTTCGAGATAGCAAACCTACAACATAGCCCTTTTCTGCCGCCATTGGTTTGTCTACAGGAGATCGTACTGCCCTCATTTCGATTCCTCTCCTCTTTTCTATACGCCTTGTCCCACTAAACCCGTCCTGCCTGCGTCCAAGAACGTTAGCGGCATCTCCAGCCCGCCGTCATCACTGATTGCGGAGCGGCACCGCATTCTTTGTACCCTTTCTGTCCGTCCCAGTTGTTTATTACTTGATGCCACGGAATCTGCGTCGCAGGGATGACATTGCTTTACGTACGCTCGCAGTGTTCCGCTGACGATGGCGCTCCCGAAGGCCCTGAACTGGCGGTCGCATCGTTGCATCCTCCCAGGAGGAACCTGCGTGCGAAGATGGGTCTGCAGATCGTTCGGGGTGGGAGAAGATGGTAGCCCGTAACCGTTCTGTGCCCTACGGCGGGAACGGATGCGGCATTCCGAGCCTCGAATGGTCCCGCGCTGGGCAACGCAGCCCATCAAGCACCGCCCGCTGTCAACGCCCTGATCACGATCAGTGAGTGTCATCAGGAGAAGTCCCACGCTCTGGACTGGCGAGATGAGCTGAACCTTGGTGTGACAGAGCGGGTTGTCAAGCGCGCCACGAAGGCCACTGCTGCCTGAACTGATGGAGGGTGTGGCGAGCCAAAGCGACCGGCGAGATCCCCGAAGAGCCCTCGAGCAAAGGTGAATTTGTCACCAGATGGGCTAATGTCGTAAAATTGGCGAATTCTCTCCATCTTTACGCATCCTCATCTGTCAGGGCAGACAATCCGCATTGAAGCACATCGTTCAACAATTCCTCGGTCATCACTCCGGTGGAAGTTCCCTGCTCACCCTCGTTTTATCATCGCCGTTGCCAGGGCCTATTTCCAACGAACGATTCGTCGTCGGTTGCAGGAAACTGGCTCCGGACACTCAACGGCCATACGCTAGACGCCACAAGAATGGAACCATTTTGAGCCGGCAGAAGTCTCAACATACCAGGCACCGCGTTCCTGCTGCTCTCTCGCGGCTAAAGGATGCACTGAAGGCTGCTTACGAGGATCACTAAACAGACGAGCAGATGAAATACGTTTTTCGACGGCCATCTCGCACTTTCACGACGGAATTTGAGGGCATAAGAGTTCGGCGGCTCGGCTCCTCTGGTCGACGTATTCCTCTTTTGGCCGCGCGCAAAGCTGCAGTTGCGGCGGGATGTCGTGGACGGTGTTTCAACCTCGGCGGCCCTCGCATACTATTTTTGCATGTAGGGTCTGCCTGGTTCGCACAGACGACAGACGACGCAGTTGCCTCAAGGCCGTCCTGATCAATGCGGATCGATCATCGGCCCCTAGTGTTCACGCCCACGTCCGAACTTCCGTTGCCACTCAGCGCGGCTCGCACTTGCGTCGCATCACACGCTAGCAGGCATTATCAGCACCCGCCTGCCAGGTTGGCGTAAGTTCGTATCCATTGACACCAGCTTATGGCCACTGATGATCTGTCACGCAGTTTCACATACCCGTGGCTATCTACCGCGTGTGTGCACTGCGCCATCACCGCGCCGGGCGATTTGTTACGCGAGCTCTCGTCGGAACGTTCCGCGACCGCCCTGGGTTACGCCCTTGGCTCGACGCTTCTGCCTTCGTACACCGGTCGACCGCGACGTACTAGGTCCGTATCCAGGAAAGAAGGGCGGAACGACTCCACATACCTCAGTCACTGGATTATTGGCCGTTCTGTCCGCGTGTCGCTGTGGCTTCGTGGCGGAACGCGCCGGAGGCGGTACTTTTCTACGACCGACGACGCCAGTGGTTCCCTCTGAACTCAGTTTTCCGGATTGTGGAGTCCCGACGGTTCGCGCAAGCTACCAACGAACAAGTCACAAGAACTATAGATTGGGACCTCAAGGGGGCATGATTTCTGCCGTGTCGACGAGGGGTGAAAGGTGTATCGCTCGGCGACTTTGATCCTGGGAAACCGCTCACTTCGGCAGAGCCTTGAACCGCACCTGCAATGTGCCTGTGCCTTCGAGAGCGATCGACCGTGTCTCCTGTGCCCTTCCTAGCATCACACCACTGCTTAAGCACCGTGACAAATTTTCAGTCTTCCTTTGCGTCCCAGAAGCCAGCTATCGGTGGTAGGAGCAAACGAAGCTCCGCCTCCTCCACACCCTCCTGGGCCAGAGTATACTTCCGCGACGTTCTCGGGGCCTTTGAGCCTATTGTTCTCGGACTGCGTGCTTCCCGGAGGGCGTGCGCCAGGTCGGCTGACCAGCCATCCGCAGGGCGTCTCTCTCATCCGTCACCATCGCAAACCTTGGGCTATGTGCGCTCTAGCCCCCGGCACCCATGATTTTGTCTAGCGGCCCTCCCTTTTCCTGCTGCCCACAGGGCCAGGAGAGTTCTCGACGTGCGCAGCGGATAGGCGGGCTGATCGCTCGGAGGCTTTAGGTGTGTCGAGCTGGGAAGCGTCTCCGCGTGGCTCCCGCGTGAGCATGTAATTCGAGGCACGGCCAACCTGTGCTGGTCTTCTCTTCGCCTCAGAGCACCGCCTCGTCATTGTCCTTGGTGCTGTCAAGGACAGAGTTGTTTGCAGATCCCTTCCTGTCCCGCATCATCCTCGAGGCATTGCTCCGTGAAAGGATAGTCTTGTGTCTGCTACCTGCATCCCGCACGCTTTCATTTCCCAGCTCAGGGCCGCCAGAGATATATTATGACGAGGTGATAGTAGATGCGCATAACGGCCTACAGGATGGGGCGTCAGGCACAGCCGTGTGCGCATACAACAATGGTGCAAATAAGAAAGAACCGCCAGATCTATACGTGGTGTATCAAAGGAAATCCACGGCTGATTTCTTTTGTTGATTGATTTCTCACATGTTAAACATTCAGACATACTAGAATATGTCGGCAGATGCGACGCGTCAATATCGTGCTGAGACGTTACCACGAACGCAGATGTGAGGCACTAACAAAGTTATCATTCTCGGGCGGGCAAAGATCGTGTCGAAGATCGCGCTCAAGGGGCAGTGCAGATACACGAGGCATGCAATGAAATTGCGAATACATGTCGGCGGAGGTACCTCTTCAGCTCGGACGAGCTCGAGAGCATGGTTCTCGGAGGATACGTCTTACATTCCACCTATTCGTGTCTCTGTTAGTGTCCTGCAACAGAGCCGTCGGCCTGGGAACATGCCAAAAGAGCCCACACCTCGATTCGCTACGCTATGTAGCACCGCTCATACTCCGATTCTATGGTTTACTGACTACATACCGTGTCGGGGATCCTCTTTCTGCGTTACTGAGCTAAATCTATAGATGCGCTTGGGATGCCGTTGCAGCGCCAACAAATGGACTGCCCGGGCTGCCCGTCGCTAGTCCGTGCCTCCAGTGGGCAATCTGGCTGCTTGTTTCGTTTGTCCTTTGCTGACCGTTCTCCACATGAAACGGGGCGGCAAGGCGGAAAAGGGTCGAGAGCTCCTCCCCATCATGATGAACAAGATCCAACAAGTACACCCCGCCGACACAGCCTCATACATTGACGCCGCCACTCCCGCGTCCAAGCTCGTTAGAAACATCCGTCCCATCTCACACCGAGCCTTCTGACCCTGAATGGTAGGCGGCACACCACGGACTAAGTCCGGAACATATTGCTTCGCTGATGTGGCCCGTTATGTCCTGGACTGCTTGTGAAGGGTCGCAGCATGAATTGAACAGCGCAGCACTGCGGCAGCGCTACGTGCATGTTATGTGAAGAGAAGCCACGCTTCCTGCGAGATGCAGAACCGCAGTTACGCTGCTTCGCTTCCGATGGTTCTGTTGCCATGGCTCTATCAGTCGTCGAGTCTCGAGAACATGCACGCATTCGACGAACAGTCTCAGACTCTCGGTGCAGTTATGTGATTACTTGGACGAGAATTGGCATATGGATAATTTTTGCAAATTTTCTCTGGTCTCTGGCTTGTAAACTTTCAGGACATTCTGTTTGGCACAGGCATTTTGATTTACAAGGACGGCGTGCAGTAAGTCAGGCGACGTCCGCATGGTATGGGTAGCCTTCGTTGTAGACTCATGCTCGCCGTGTCTGCTACTCTCCTCCTGTTCGCCCTTGACGTATAGGCTCGGTATACCCGCTTCATTGGTGCTACCTTGCGAACCTGGCCCAGTGAGCTGCACATTCACTTCATAAGACACGGGCAGCACTCCCTTTTTACATGCCCGCAGGCTATTCGTCTGCTTGGGGTCCATGCGACTTGGCTTCTTGCAGCGGCAGTACCTTCATTCGAGTTGTGTCTTGTCACCAGCAGAGCCTAGAGTGGTGTATAGAGGAGCAGGCCCTGTTCTGCGCATCCCACCTTCTTTGGCCCATATTCGACACTCTTGTGAGGTGCCAGTGGCCCTACTAAGAATTTGTCCATCGCTCTTATTGACACACTGCAGCAGACCATGGCCATGAACGCTAAGAGTTCTTCAGCGACGCGCATTTCCTCTGGGTCGCTGTAAAGACGTGGTGTGGTACCTTCGGCATTTCCTCGCTATGCATCAACGTCATGGCCATTAGCCTCTGGAGCGCAATTCACTTCGATAATTCTACCTACCGGCCGACCATGCTCCACTCCTTCGTCACTAGTCCTCTTCTATCCAGAGCCTCTCTTGCCAGTCGCGTTTGGCCAACAAGCTAACGCAAGAGACGTTGCTGGCGATGCGGAGATCTGCAGGCGAGAAAGAAGCCTAGTACGCCAAGCGCCCCTCAGTCGATCAGGTTAAAGAATAAGAAGCGTCAAATATTAGCATATTAGCAAGTTATGTTACACTTCAACGGTGCCTGATTATTATCCCAGCTTAGGTTGTACCGCAGAATAAGAAGAGTAAAAAACATTGAGACGGCAATATCGCCCATGGATACCACGCCCGCAAGGTGGTTGCGTCCTCGGTTTGACAAACGATGCCGGCGATGCAGAATGTCCGCGGCATTCCTCCCCTCAGGAAGGGCTCAAATGGCGCTTACATCTGCGGGCGTGTGTTACCCCATGCGGCACCACCTGTGCCCCAATCTCATCCCCGACTGCTCCGAGACCCCGATAGTGGACCGTACTCGCGCGAGTAGTCTTAGTAAGGCGGCCCTGTTCGCCCATACCACCTGGTTCTGCACCAACTGCGTCGCCAGGCTCGACTGAGGTCTGAGCACTCTCAGGGTGACGACGGTAGCCCGCGGCTTGTGCGCACTTGTCGCGTACGTGCTCTGCTGGATCAAGTCTCTGAAAATTACTGAGCCGACGCTCATCCGGGAGCGAGACGAGCGCGAGGCCTGTGCGTTCATGATGATGTGCGGCCCCGAGAAGATACATCTCTTGTTTGGCGCTGCATCCTTCCATAACCCCGCGGAAATTGGATCTATCACGGATGTAGACAACCCTGAGGCTGTGGATTCACGACCACGGTGTCTGTGTCGTTCTATATCATCGCCGTCCTCTCTAAACGAGGAGCCCGAGATCCCCAGCTTGGTCAACTAAAAGGATGCCGCTCTACTGTCTGTAAACGACGTTGTCAGCTTGCTTCCAGAGCGATGAAACTTAGATGGGACGACCTTCATTCCACCCTTGCAAGACGCCTATTACGATCTCAGAGTAGCCACCCTACTGCTCGCGCGCCGTTCCGTGGCATGCGGAGCCCATAGTCCTACGAGCAGAGGACGCTAACAGGTGGGACCCGGCAAGGTCGGTTATGCGGCACTACAGCCTGTTGCTGGCGACCCTCGAGCTTCCGTACAAGGCGTATGTCGCGCCGCAATCGGGCTTGCAAACTTCCTTCATTATAAAGGGCGCTCTGACCTTTCCGCGACGGCTTTGACGGCCGCCTACGTTTTCACTCGCTTCCTCGGCTGAAACGTCAGGTTACCAGCAGAGCCTGAGAAGCACCTGTGACGCTTCGTCAATCTTGCTGTCGTCCTCTGGGGTTAATCGCGGGTGTCGTTGCGTTTATTCAAGTTGTCCAAGTCATTCATTTGCTCCTGGGAAACTTTACCGGTGAGCGACGAGGCAAGGCGTTGCTTGCCACTTGCGCAGCGCTCTCGCACACAACCCCCGTTAATTTTCTTCCGGTCAAAAATCTTCGCGAACTCCTGAAGCTTGCTGCGTACCGTCGTGGTCGGATTCACGTGACTGTTGCTGGCCGCATTTCTCGTAACGCTTGCCAGGATCTGTAATATTTTGCTATATCATAGATAGTTACATATAAGCACAAGCGGCATAACCACGGTGCTTACTTTAATGTAACAGTGGAATAAATTTACATGCTGAGGATGACGGTATTTTCTACTCGGCGACGACGGACATACGAGTCATTGCTTGGCGCTAACGTTAGTAAGCGCCACGCTGCATTTGGAAGAACGGCGGCTTTGAAACCTAACAAGACTAAACACACCGTTCTTGAAGCGAACGTCGACCATGAGCTCAACCACTCAAGCCGAAACGCAGCTTGTAGCAGGCAAGAAACCCAAAAAACTCAAGCCTGCGCGGAAACAGGTCAAGCCCGGAGAGGTTGAGAAGAAAGAGGCTCCGCAGACGGGCAAGGAATACAGTGCGTATACTCGATATCGCAATGAGTAATTAGCTAAGCCGCAAGCGTAGACATCTGGTATAACAAATGGGCTGGCGGAGACAGGGAGGATAGCTACTCCAAGTATGTACAAAACATGCTCTGAGTATGACGGCTTACTGACCACTACACAGCAAAGTCAAGTCGCAAACAAGATGTAACATCAAGCGGGACTCGGGCATGACACGAGCGAATACAACAGGCGTGAAGTACTGCTGCCTTTTCTTCTCGCGCGGGTGCTGTCCATACGGCTGGGAGTGCGAATATCTGCATACGTTACCGGATCCGTCGCTGGCTCTGCCGGACACGTCCAAGGACTGTTTCGCGCGGGACAAGTTCGCCGACTACCGTGATGACATGGGCGGCGTGGGCAGCTTCCAGCGGCAGAATCGGACGTTGTATGTTGGGCGGATAAAGGAAACAGGCACAGGCGTGGAGACAGAGGAGGTCGTGCGGCGGCATTTCAAGGAGTGGGGCGAAATCGAGAAGAGTGCGTCAATCCCCGCTTTTCCTGCCCACACGCTCTACTAACCGTACTGTGTGCAGTCCGTGTACTACAGTATCGAAGTGTCGCCTTCGTCACATACGTTCACGAAGGCAGCGGACAGTTTGCGAAGGAGGCTATGGCGTGCCAATCGCTCGACAACGACGAAATCCTCAACGTACGCTGGGCAACAGAAGACCCAAACCCTACGTCGAAAGTTGAGGAGCGGGAACGGTTAGAGGCGATGGGCCGGGAGGCTATTCAGGCGAAGATGGATCCGCGTATCATCGAGGCGATGCGAGCGGTGCGAGCGTTGGAGGAGGGTGTCGAGCTCGACAATGAGGAACCCGAGGTCGGGGAACTAGAAGACGCGCCACCGACAAAGCGGAGGAGGCTCGAGATAGAGGGAGCCGAAGCTACGCCGGAGTCCCCCGTGGAGCAGCCTCCAAAACCAACGGGTCTACTCAGTGCAGATACTCTGGAAAGCTTAAAATACTTTACCGAGATCCGCCAGCGGAACGGTTTGGCGAACGGAGCTGCCAAGGCGGCCCCAAAGCCGCCACTGCCGACCAGTCTCGGTCTCACAGGGTATGGTAGCGATGAGGACGACTAGGTTGGACTGTATAGCAGCTGCATTTATAGTACATGTTACACCACCTTCATATATTTATGGGATGTGATACGGCATGTGCAGATCAATGGAGGCAATGGTAAAACAGTATTGAATACGCGTGTGTGCGCACAATCAATCGCCTGTCGGGCTTGGCGAGCCATCGTCCTGCAAGCTGAGATCCTGTATTCGCTGCCCTTCTCGAGCGAGATCTTCCTCCTCTTTCTCCTTGCGATATTTCGCAAGGTCCCACTCCTCTTCTTCCTCTTCGTCTTGGAACCACTCGGGGTTATATGTAAACTAAAACGGTATTGAGACGCGGGGTCCAGGAATACATTCTTGTGTCACTCACGAGATCCCTTCCGCTCATGCCGTTATTCTTGCCGGCTGCGGCTTGCGTATCCTTTGCCTTCCTGAGTGCCTCATCCTCGGCTTGCTTCTTGTCCATCCGCGTCTTCTTCCACTTGGCGAACGTCTCTGGCGTGACTGGGGTGAGGTTCGTTCCCAGCTTATGCCGCTGCAAAAGACCGAGTGAGCAAGGCAAGATGAAAAGGATGTGGAAGGGTGGCACACCTCAACTTCTAGGAACTCCTCCAGGCTGATCTGGTTTGCCTTTTCCGCCTCCTCGGCCGCCTTGCGCTGCGACCTGAGCATGAACCCTGGCGGTAATGCGTGTCGGTACTGACACTGCTCGCCACCGTTTGGGCATTCCCAAAACCATCCAAACTTTTCTGTCTCGATAGCTTCAATGAAGTATTTGCAGACGATCTAGATGAGGGTGAGTAATAATAACTGAGCCAGTAGAAATAGACACACATCAGTTGTCGTCCGAAGATTTCCATGCTTTGAGAGTACCACGCTGCGAAGCTTCTCCTCGTCCCATTGGTCCATGGTATCTGCATGGCACGCGCCGTTTAGTTCGTATATCAGGCATAATCTCATGGCGATACTGACCTTTCGCCTTGTCCTCCCTGACATCCTCGTACAAATTCTTCTTCTCTACCTTCCGGCCCACATCCAGGTCGTGGCTGAACTTACATTTGTTGCCCTTATCACAAGATCCTGCCTTGAAGAATGCGCACAGCACAGTCTTCGGGTCGACACCAAATGGCACCTTCTGGACCTGGACGGGTTTGAGCAGCGCAGCCTCCTCCTTCTTGCGCTTTTCCTCCTCGGCCTTTTCTTTTTCTCTCATCGCTTTCTCCTTCTCCTTCTCCAGGGCTGCACGAGATTTGCCGGCCAAAGCCTGCTGCTTCTCGATCTGAGCGACTTGCTGCTTGACCTTGGCCGATTTATTTTTCTGTGGCAACAAAAATCATGCTATCATGGCAGATTGTAGCAAATTCATACGAACATTCTTTAGCCCGAAGGTCTGTTAAATTCTCGTCAATGACGGTCCCATCAGCTTCACGAGGGATGTGCGGCGAGAAGGAAAATACCTTGTCATCCTTGACCTTGGAGCTCGAGCCCTGCTGTTGCTTCTTCGGCGGCATGGCGTACGATGTCGAGAGATGTTAGTCGATGTGACGGGCAACGAGGATGGTGGGGGAAGCAAACGAAGTTCTCGCCGATGACAACCTGCGTTTGGGTTAAGGTTAAGGTTAGGGCCGACTGGGCATCCTAATGCCGTGGCTTGTCCGCTTCGCATCTCTCTCCTGAACGTCCTCCACACAAGTTCTCCTCTGCTCTCACCTCCGCAGGGACACGGTTCCGCGACCCCGCGTACGACTAGCATACCGTCTTTGGTGCCCTGTGCCGCCCAGTGATCGGCACCGCCTCTAAGATTGGCTCGCTTCCGTGGATGGAATGAGCTCGCACTGATCACTATAACTTCCCCACATATATTTTTGAGTGGTCATCTGTTACCACTCGCTGTCGAGCCTATACCACGCACTACCTATCCCAACTATGACGATGACACGCTCGACGCCATCGCTTTTAACCTCGACGGAGCCGCGGACTGCGGCCGCTGCCAAAGTCTACATCGGCCATATGTACGTCTTACTTCGTTAGCGACGCGTGTATACCCTAACCTCTCGCTTTAGACAGCTCAGGGATGTAGTTATATGTCCTCACGAACGCGGGATCGTGAGCTATCCGAGCGGCAAGGCTATCATGGAACACGACATTCTTGTTCCGAATGCTGTCAGTGCTCCTCTCACTGCCGTCTCATTGCGCATTACCGACAGGCCGCATATAGGCACCACGCCGCATTGCAGACCTATCTTTCCAGCCAAACTCGCTATCCTCCCTTGTACTTGACAATGGGGATACTTTGCTCGCTGTCGGCGGACAAGAAGCAGAGTTGCATCTGTCCCTCTACGGATCTCCACCATCCTACTCTAGTGGCGGCAGCCTAGCTGCTCGTGAACCCGCGCATCGGTTTGGTCGACAGCGATGGAAGACCGAAGTAACCCTCGAGGGCGCTTCTATTAACAACTCGGTGCTTCTGACGTCTCTCAGCTTGACTGGCTCAAACGAGAGCAGCGCGGAGCCACGAATAGTTGTCAGCAATAACGACCGTACTGTGAAGTTCTTCGACATTGCGACACGGAGCGTGAAGCACAACGATCAACGCCTGTCCCATGCAGGACACCTTCGCCTGGACGTGGCTGTCAACCACTGTGAGTTTTAGCGTGTTGGTTGTATTGTCCATGTACTCATTCCATAAAAGCTTCAATATCGCCGGATGGCCGGACCTTGCTCTCTGTGGGAGACTCGCCCGATGTCTTCCTGCACCGGATAACGGGAGGTGCCCGCATCACCTTTTCACACATGATGAAGCTCTCGCTCTCACGATATATCAATTTTATCCCGTCATACAGCTATGGCTTGGTAACACCATACTCCGCCGGCACGCCTGTACCTGCATCGTTCTCGACAGCATTCTCAGCTAACGGCTCAAAATTCGCGGTGGCGTCGCAGGAAGGAGTAGTTGTGGTGTGGGATGTAAGGAGCTCCAAGCCGCTGAAGGTCATACAAACTGACAAGGAGAGGCCAACAAATACCGCTGGGTCACATGGTAACGGTGGCGCCAGTGGGTGGATCTCTGAGCCCCCCTTTGACTGGGCTCAAGGGTCTCAAAAAGCACCAGGCTGGGGGGTACGCAGTGTCAAGTTTAGCCCACGCGGTGTCGGCCGCGAAGTCATGACATTCACCGAGGTAAGTCCAGTGTTTCTATTCTAATTAACACAGCTGAACTTTCCTAGCACACCTCATTATTGCACGTCGTCGATGCTCAAACTTTCGAGACGGAAGAGATCATTCGCGTGCCTCCCTTCGACTCGCCTCCGGCAACGCGACCCATCACGGTGCGTCAACGGTCAGATTCGCCGGCCTCGATATCATCACGATCGACTGTGGAACGCGCGCATATGTCCTCATCGCAACTCCCACCGCCACCTCGGATCATGCTTTTCAGCGGTGCGCTAGAAGACACCTTCCGTATACCCTCCATTGACACCACAGGCCGCCGTCGACAACGAATTCACGGCGCGCCCGAAGACGATAGCGAAGGCATCGTTGTCATCCCGCCTCTTGGTGACCGTGAAGTCGATGATGACGTGCGGAGGCTGATTGAGGGCCGGCATGCTATTACTCTGCGTATTCGTGGCGCGTCACACCCAGACGACGAAGACGGTGGCCGAGACGACACCCGGGAAGATGAAATGGATGTGGATGAGCTCGATCCAGACTGTGTCTCATCATATAGCCCGTCTCGTGCAGCGTCTCCCACACCCTCTCCCGGTCCCTCATCCGCACCGTCCGGCTCCGGGCTTTCGCGCTTCGACCCCGTGCGTCGTGCCGGTCTTCTTGAGCGGCGCGAGTCAGCGAGCCCGTACCTTGCGCGACGAGGGTCTTCGCAAGGCCTGCGCCGGCATCAGCGCCGCGGCGACACCGCCGGCGACATCGAGATCGACCAAGATCTTGCGGGCACGTGTTTCGATCCCTCGGGCGAGTATATCTACGTGGGCGCCATGGGCGGAATCGCGGAGTGGAAGGTGCGCGGCGCTGAGCAGCGCTGGTGGTCAGAAGCTACCTTTGCTTGATGTGCCCTATCCTTGCACTGACGATCCTGACGACCTATGTCATGATGCACGTTTCTCTCTTCTTTCTTACCACCTCCACTGGGGGTTCCCTCTTTCCAGTTTACATACGGACAATCCGTGTCCCATATCGTGTTCTATACCAACGTTATCCCACATCTCCTCAGCTTGTGTTTTATTGCTGTCTAGTTATCTCTGGCACTCATCTGTACGATACATATCTCCTCGCCTTCCCTCAGCAAGCATGTCCCGTTATTGTAGTTCTATACCGACGTTTTCTAGCTGTCATGGACAATTTATGAATGCATGGCCATTGTGAGTCACTGTGTTGATTCATGTTGTCGCTTTTAGTCTCATGTGGCGGCCGATATCATGACGAGGCTAAGAATGCCGCGAGAGCAGCTCTTGAGTGGCCTCCCTGAGCAAATTGTAACCTCATCACTACTGAAAGCGAACAAAGCTACAGTTGGATTAATCCAGCAATATTTATTATGCTATGGTGACAGAAATGCAACATTTATTGATACATGTCCGATGTCGCCGCCCAGAGCATCCGAACGCCACAAAGCCGGGCGGGATTGATGCGCTTTACTGATCCGCTCCAACTCCTAGCCGTTGAACGGATCACCGACGTCGTTTCGTTTTCTACTGTTGACCACGACCACTGCCACATTCTCATGTACACGTCCCATTCTACTATGTCGCTGTATCTGCTTAATATAAAGGTTACGCAGGACTACGAGCATAGCATTTGCTTCGAGTTGGCGTTTGCCTAGGAACGGGGCGGACTATAGACGGAGAGGTGTCAGCACAGATCACAGCCACTGAAATGCAATACGGTTCATCGATGTGGCATACGAGGCTAGCTGCGATAATGTCGGTGTATGACCAGCCTTCCGCTGAACGGTAAATGAAACCTAATATCCCCCTGACAGCTTGTGTAGCCCAGATACAGGATGCGCAAGCGGTTTCGAAGACCAAGAAGCGAGCTGCGGCGCTAAGGCTAACATAGCACGCGGAATAGGCCTGATATCGCTGTGGCATTTAGCCCTAATATGCTGCGCCACGCCCTTCCCGCCCTGCACGAGGAAACCACCACGACAGGTTTGCCATAGATGATTGTTCCGAAATTAACAGCACCGCATCGAACCAACATATTCTGTCACTTATAATACAGATTGCTCCCTATGAACTGCCTTAGTACGCAGACTATCCTTCACCCGGGCAACATGTATGCACCCCGCACAGTACCAGCTCCCCGGACCTTCGGGACGTCGAGGAACAATGGCTACGAAGATTACCAGCCCCCTCCTCGACACATAGAGAACTATCGAGATACATCCCACTATGGCAATGGGGGGAAGTCCATGAAACCTGCAGCGCCGAGCGAGCCCGAAGAGGTCGTCATTGCGTACGCTCCTGCTCGTACAATCATCATTCGTCGTTACTTATCAAGCGTGTTAGCGTCATGGGAGCCACAGGCTCTGGCAAGTCGACTGTAAGTCTATGCGTTTCGCCGTTCGTTCTCGCATGCTGAGTATAGAACAGTTCATCAACATTGTGAGCGGCTCTCACCTCGCCGTCGGCGAGGGCCTCAAGTCCTGCACATCCAAGGTCGAGACCGTGAACACCTTCGAGCTGTTTGGGAAGCTTGTCACGCTTGTGGACACGCCTGGCTTCGACGACACAACGGTCTCGGACACGGACATCCTCAAGATGATCGCAGCGTACCTTTCCAGCACGTACGTCCCTTACCTCTTATCTCGCATGTGCACACCCTCATCGAGGTCCCGAACGCAGGTACCAGAGCGGCTACAAGCTGAGCGGGCTCATCTACATGCACCGCATCTCCGACTTCCGCGTCGGTGGCATCTCGCGGCGAAACCTGAGCATGTTCCGCAAGCTCTGCGGTGACGAGACGCTCAAAAACGTTGCGCTCGTCACGAACATGTGGAGCGAAGTCACCCCCGAGCGCGGTGCCGCACGCGAGCACGAACTGCGCACAGACGACCTCCTCTTTGCGCCTGTGCTCCAGGGCGGTGCGTCGATGCTCCGGCACGATGGGACGGTCGCAGGCGCACAGGCCATACTCGCGCACCTTGCAGGCAACCGCCCCCGCGTACTACGCATCCAGCGGGAGCTCGTCGACGAGGGTAAGGACATCACAGAGACAGCGGCGGGTGTTGAGCTCGACCGCGAGCTCGCGGCGATGCGGAAGAAGCACATCGAACAGCTCGCGGAGATTCAGCAGGAGATGGAGCAAGCGCTGGCAGAGAAAGACGAGCTAACGAGGAAGGAACTCGAGCAGGTTCGAGGCGAGCTGCTGCAGAACATCGAGAAGATCGAGAGCGACCGCGACCGGCTGTCGAAGGAGTATGCCCAAGAGAAAGCCAAGGCGGACGAGCGCGTGCGCCAGATCCAGGAAGATCTCGAGGCGGAGAAGGCGGCGAGAGAAGAGAGACAGCAAGAGATTGCGCGGCTGGCTAGCGAGATGGAGAACAACCGCAACTTGCACGCGAGAGAGCGGGAGAACATGCAACGTCAGATGGAGGATCTCAAGAGGCGTTCCCGTCGTCGTGGGCTGTTCTCTATGGTTGGTGGGGCTATTGATTCTCTCTTCGGTCTCTAAGCCTGCTGTTCCTGAACGTATTTTTGTTATATCTTCTTTTTCTTTTTCTTACGAGGCGACCGTATCACAAGCTCTGTCATAGTACCCGAGAGTGTATATTAAACGAAATATCCCATTGCTCCTTCTATAAACTTCTTCAGTAGAAAGCTTGAGATAGCTGACTTCCATCCGGTTGGGAGCGCAAGAGCGAAGCATCCAGCATGATGAGGGTAGGGCCAGGCCGCTTAATGAGATTTTGGCGGACATGTTGTTGCACATGTATTTTGGTCGGTAAATGGTATATATGTATACAACGAGCTCCGAGTTTTGTAACACTTTCGTGCCAAGATTTGAGAAGCCTGTCTCCGAGTTCCAACGCCGAAGATGCCCCAGTTCGCCGCCCCTCTGTGGCACCCAGATACGCAACCACGTGCCTAAGGCCTTGAAGCATCACTCCACTGAGGTCGAGCCTCTTGACGGCGAACCGCAATGTGTTCAGTATCTACGAACTCGTCGCACAAACACAAAACAAGCTTGTCCAGGCTCGGTGGACGACGTGAGACGTGTACCTGGAGTCGGGAGCATGAGCTGGCAGGAGAATAAGCTCGACTGGTGGATGTCAAGGCAGCGAGGATCGTATTGAGGCTCGTATATAGGACGCAGCCAAGGGTATGCAGTGGGACGGCCTTCCACGGCGGGCACATGGAGCTGAAGGTGCCACAGGCCTGACTACGGCGAGGCCGACAAGGACGGTATCCGTGTCGGAGTGATCGAGGCCGAGTTTTTCAATGTCGCAGAGTTGGCTGCACAGTTCGAGGGTCTGGAGGTAGTGAGATGGGGGCGGAAAAAGGTCGCTAGCACATGAGGTTGCATTGAGGCTCGTATCAGGGCATGCCGGCGTAAGACCTGTCGGTCAGAATTGGCGGCACGCGCTATACGCATGAATTGAGCCGCGTCGCTTCGAATCTCTGAAAATCTTCTACAATCCGCGTCCGCACGTTGGTTAACAACGCCGAAGCCACGGCAGAAGCACTAGGCACGGGGTCAGGGCCACAGTCGAGTGCATTGAATGAGAACCATTGAATATATAGGTATCTCAACTTCCACAATACCAGCTGTCAACTCAACACCAGAGAAGCAACCAAAGTTAGTATCCACTTATTGCTGCAAAACCGCTTCAAGTTCTTGTGCGCTGCTCAGTATAGGCACAATACGTGTGGGACAGCGTAGACGGTTGGAAAAAGCAGACACTATGTATGAGGGTAGCTATTATGAAGGCCATGTGAACCAACCTTTGATAATAGAGAGGAAAGGTAAGATCCTCTTTGCCCTCTTACCGTACCGCTTTGAATGATTGGTCGGCGTGACGATGGTGTGTGCCAAATTGTCAAAATTCCAATAATTTGTTGGTATTTTTGCTCAAATTTTGCTCTATTTTGGTCTATATTCGATACAAAGCTTCGCACGGCAACCCGCAAACCTCGCTACCGTGTGAAATTTCCCTGGCTGATAGCTGACTCTCAGCCATGAGGAAAATTCGAGCAGGGCGTTGACCTAACAGTCCGTGCAAAGCGTGCCAACACAAGAGCTTGGCATATTTCACGCCCTTGCACCGACGCGATGGATGTTTCGGGGCTGCGAGCAGCATCCGTCGACCATAGGCTCAAGCCCAAGCTGGCGAACTAGCAACGTCGCTTCTCCCGCCAACCACTGCGTTTTTTCATCAATTCACTGCGCGAATTTGCTGCTATTTACTGATTTTCCAGATAACAGGAAACCTCAGGTAAGTGCAGTGAATGTGCCAATGCCACGCTGCCACTGAAGTCGGCACATTGCGGTATACAGACGGGGCGGATCACGCCTATAGGCATCTACTATCCATCGATATGGCGGAGGTTCACTTCAGAGACCCGGTGGAGACGGATGAGCTGCAGAAGCATGGATATTAATGAAACCTAATATCCACCTGACGACCTCTTCCCAACCTTCTCATCCAAGTACGATTTGCCCAAAAGCCATAGAAGCAGCTGGGAGCACGAAAGTAAGGTGCGGCGCGTGCATCAATGCTGCAACGCCTGGACCTTGAGGTGCACGTCGCATCCTTCCTAGTACGCACGGGAGTTCGTCAGCATACGTTTGCAAAAGGAATCGATGCCAGCTTCAAAAAGTTTTGACCGCATTGTTCAAGCATGTTATATGACTTATAACCAACACATGATTGTTCACAGTCTGCAGATCTTCCTCCAGACGACTACATCGACGCAGCCCGCATTATGCCAGAGTCCCAAGCCTTCGAGTCGCCGGGATGCGACAATTACCAGGCGGAAGAGTCTCATCTACAGCACATTTGGGGCGATCAGGACACGTCGTGCCACGGCGACGAGAGAGTCATCGCGTATGTGCATATCCGTGCACCCGTCTTTCATCAGGACTTACTTTATCTTCAGTGTTCTGGGAGCTACAGGCACTGGAAAGTCGACGGTAAGTTTGCGCGTGCCACCGCTCGTTCTTTCATACTGCTCCTCGGCGTGTCTCTTCCGCAATGCCTCGAGCTCGCTGCCGAGCTCGGCGCCTGCTGCCGTCTCCGCGATGTCTCTGCCCTCGTCGACGAGTTCGCGCTGGATGCGCAGCGCACGCGGACGGTTTCCTACGAGATGTGCGAGTATGGCTTGTGCGCTCTCGTACGTGTTGTCGTGCCGGAGCATCGTGGCGCCGCCCTGGAGCACAGGCGCAAATAAGCGTTCGTCGGTGCGTAGCTGGTGCTCACGCGCGGCGCCGCGCTCGGAGGTAACCTCGCCCCACATGTTCGTGACGACCACGACGTTGCCGAGCGCCTCGTCGCCGCAAAGCTTGCGGAACATGTTCAAGTTCCTCCGCGAGATGCCGCCCATGCGGAAGTCGGAAATGCGATGCATGTAGATGATTCCGCTCAGCTTGTACCCGTTCTCGTACCTGTGTTCAAGACTTTAGTGAGAGGTATGCGACGGGCGGAACGGACGTACGTGCTAGAGAGGTACACGGCGATCATCTTGAGGATGTCCGTGTCCGAGACCGTTGTGTCGTCGAAGCCAGGCGTGTCAACGAGCGTGACGAGCTTCCCGAACAGCTCGAAGGTGTTTGCGGTCTCCACTTTGGCCGTGCAGGACGTGAGGTCCTCGCCCACGGCGAGGTTAGAGCCGCTCACAAGGTTGATGAACTGCTCTGCACTGTTGCGGAGATCCGGGAGGAGATGAAGCAAGCGCTCGCAGAGAAGGACGAGCGGATGAGGAAGGAGCTCGAGCAGGTCCGCAACGAACTACTGCAAAAGATCAAGAAGATCGAGAGAGACCGCGACCGGCTGTCGAGGGAGTATGCCGAGAAGAAAGCCGAGGCGGACGAGCGCGTGCGCAAGATCCAGGAGGGTCTCAAGGCGGAGAAGGCAGAGCGGGAAGAGAGGCAGCGTGAGGCTGCGCCGTCGGTGAACAAGGCAGATAAAAGCCCTCTGAATGTGAGCACCGTGGGGGCTTTGCAGCGTTTGACAGCGAATCCTCGTGGCTTTTTTGCCTTGCTCGGACGAGCCATCGAGTCTATGTTCGGTCATTGAGCCTCCGCAGGATAGTTCCAGTTCGTTCTCTTCGGTTCTCGTTGGGACTATTCTTGTACTATAAGTATGATCAATCCTCTCATAGCTGTTTATAAGCCTGCAAATATGTATCCGTTCGCTTAGAAAGCACCAGACAATGTAGCCGGCATTTGCTGCTACTGTAGCACAGTGGAGAGTACGGGCGGACCGATGGTATATGGCATACCAACTCACCCTCCATAATATAATCCATGCGCAAAGAGCGACGATACCCGCAACATGCTGCATGCGAAGATGAACTGCGTCCAGTCATGTCGTGAACATAATTGCAATAGTAATATATGCGCGAATGTGAGGATTGACACTGACTGTCCGTGCTTCATCTGTACAGCAGGAACAAAAGAAAAGATAGAAATGGACTTCCAAGAAACACAATCCAAACAACAATTACACAGTTCGCTTGCACGCACGCGCGCGTGTGTGCAGTCATCACCGTAGACCATCGTCTCACTCCAGGCCGCCAACACGCTTTCGCCAACGCAGGGCTCTTATTAGGTAAACATCTGATACATTCGCGGCCGTCCGTCCTCGGGACGCTCTGCCTCAGAGCGCCGCCGCTTCCGGCTCTGCAAGAGGACCGACGGCGGGATGGAGAAGTAGTCTTCTACGGTAGGCTTGTGCGACAGCTGTGGGTTCGGGGGCTGGTACGGAGGCAGGGGCGGGAGGTGCGACAGGGAGGGGTCCGGGACAGAAGAGCCGGGGCGCGCCGGGCTTGTAGGGTTCGAGTGGACAAGAGAATCTATCGACATCGAGGATCTACCTTCCCTGTTCGCGGCAATCCAGGACGCCTTCCGGTACTAAGCGGATGTGAGCATGTGTGCGCCTGAGAACAAGAATAAAGGGACTCACCGTTTCTAATTCGGGCTTGCCGCGCCACCGGGAGACGGCTTCGCAGAATCTGCATGCGGCGCGCTCTACCGCCTCCGCGGGGTATTGCCACGCCAGATCTTCCATGTGCGTGGCGACGTCGGGTGTCGAGTGTGGGACGTCATAAAACTGCAAACGCGCGTCAGCCTGAGATGGCGTCGATCATACATAGCTAGAAAAACACAAACTCTCGTCAACCGCTCCTGCATCTCGATCTCGTATTCCTGTTCGGCGCCCTCGGTGCGACGCGGGGGTATGCCGCCCCTGGCGGGATTAATATCTCGCAGGGACGGGAAGAGGATTTTGACCGCGTCCTCGAGGTCCGGGAAGTCGTCGGGGTCGAAATGCGCGAACGGGTCCTCGGCTCTGCCCGAGGCGTTCTTGTCCTTGCGCGGCGACAGCGCCCCGGTTTTGGGAGGCAGCCCGAGCCCGACGCAGAGCAGGACCTCGAGCGACTCGGTCCCGCGCCACCCGCCGGTCATGTACCCCTCGAGCGCAGAGCGGGTGAGCAGGCCCGCGAGGAGGAAGTACCACGCGCGCGTCGGGCGCAGTGCGTTCGCGTGCAGGTCGCCCGATGCGCCCGACGACGCCGGCTTGTTCAGCAGCCGCGGTGCGAGCAGCGGCGACACGGACGACTGCGCGCTCGACGACGTGTTCGGGCGTTCGCCGCCGCCGTCGACGGACGCACGGTCCTCGGTCGCCTCGCGGCCAAGCTCGATTGCGACGAGGGCGCTCAGGCGGAGGAAGCGCTCGGTGAGTTCCGCGAGGCGTGTGTTGGGCGGGGGCGGACCGTCGCCGTCGCCCCGCGTCGAGGGATGCGGCGGGCGTCGGAGGACGTTGCCACTTGGGCCCGGCCGCGTTAGTCCCGAGCCGATACCACTGCCGTCTTGCCAGCCTGTCACACCGCCGCCCAGACCGAAGACGTTGTTGCCACCAGTGAGAGGCGTGTCGCTTGGGCTGCTTCCCGAGGCAGAGCCCGCGCGTCCCGACTGGCTGCGCCTCTTCTCGGTCGAGGTGCGCACGTTCGTCGCCTTGGCCTCGACGCAGATATCGCAGCCCATGAGCAGGTGGCGAGGGCAGCGGAGCGATGGGGGAGAGTTCTGCGAGTCTGGATCGGCACCGATGTTGTAGAGTGACTTGATATAATCGCTGGGCATCGGTTTGCGAGGAGACGGCATGTTCCGGGGAGTGAGACGGCGAGCAGGGGCTCGAGGACGGGAGGAAGCGATGGCGGTAGGAGATGACCCGATGAGTGTGCACTAGGGATATGCCGTGAAGGTGGTGAAGGGGCTCGACGGGCGAAGACATCGTTGATAACAGTGCCAAGCGCTAGGCGCAGACGGACACCGTTCGGGAGCGAATGCTCAGTTGGGCGCGATGAGGTTTGCGGATGGAGCTGTGGCGAGGTTGGGGGCTCAAGGAGCTCCTCAGGGTGAAGTGGAGGCACTTTCGGGGGTTGATTGAGCATGGAGGTGATGACCTTCTCGACGGATTCAGCGCGCTGGCGCAGACTCCTAGCAAGAGCTAAGTCCTGCATGTCAAGCCTCTCGTCCTCGTCCTCTTCATGAGTGTGTCCGGGCCCACCTGCACGTGCGGTCATAGAGACGACATCCTCTCCTTCGCTGAATATATCTTCGTCCTCCTCGTAGTTCTCCGGTCTCTCGCGGTTAACGTAGTTTGGAGCGTGCGCACCTCCGGTGCGATCAGCCATGCCAAGTTCTGCACGGGCTTGTGCGGTACGTGTTCGTGCGTGCACCCAGAGCATGTGGTCTAGGATCAGGGTTCTCGTCGATTTCTCGCGAGGGGGGATCGAGTGTAGGTGGTGTGCATGTTTATGCGCGGGTGGCCTGAAGGGTGTCTGGCCCAGCGTACTCGACCCTGCCCGGTTGTTGTTGAACCTGTTTGCGAGCGGGGACGATGGTAGATGTCTCTGGAACGATGTGTTGCTGCTGCTTGGATCTGCGACGATGTACGCCGAGGACGACATGGCCGTGCAGATGTGAGTTCCTTTGCTCTCAAGACCGGTACGCTTCATGAAGCATTGGCGGCTATCTCCGGCGCTCCGGGTCTTTCCACATCTCCAACACATCGGCTCGGGGAAATTCCCTCATTCCCGACGTCTTTCTTTCCCTGACGATCCCACAACGACATGTCTCCTTGCTCAGCTTCCTGCAGCCGCAGCAGTTCAACCCCGTCAGGACCAGAGCATGCCGTCATCAAAATATTGAGTTCGATTGAAGAACTAGATGTTCCTCGTGGATCGTCAGGTGGATACGTCGCGCAGCTGGTCAGATGCGGTCAAGTGTGGTTGAGTACTGGTGGGTGTGGGAGCAGGTAATGCTGGCAAGAGGCAGGTGTGGATCTTCATCGTGGTTCACGAGACAAAAATCTTTTCAGAGCCGCTGGTCAACTTTATCCCTGCCGAACAGTCGACATTCCAACGTCAAATACTCTCACCATTGTTCGCAGACTGCATGCATATTTACTTCTTCTGCTCCTTCCATTATCTCCCACGAAAATCTTGAAGTATACCGCTTCCATGTTGCTTGTGCGGTTACGGACTTACTGGTCGCGATTCAGGAGCGTTCACAGAGGCATAAAGCTGTGTCGACCTCGAGTTGCAAAGCTGAAGATTCTTCTGAATGTGACGTTGCAGTTCGCGTTCGGTTTGCGTGTTTTAAAGCGCCTCGAGGATTCATATATCTTGCCCAGGGCCCCGCGCTTGCCGATGTCTGCCCATGTACATAATTCAGCGCATGTAGCAACGTACGTGTGGTGTGTTGCAGCACACATGCCAGCTCCGCTCGTCCCCCCGCCCATTCCCTCCTTAAAAGACCAACCTCAGCCCCAGCTCGTCGTGGGTGTTGCTGGAAGCGCCATCGGCGCCATATTCCAAGCCGAGCACCGACAGGGTTGACGGAGCCGGAATCGGCAGAGTGTGAGAACAGCAAGAGGACGGCCATGGAGAGCGGCATGGGGAGGGGGAACGGGGGGACGTGGAACCAGGTTCGCGCTCTTTATATACGCCCGCGACGCTAACCATTTCAGCCGTCTTTTTTCGATTGCACAACGGACGATTCGGGATCGCCACTGGCCCAGTGCCGGCTGCTCCCGATGCGTGCTCCCCTCGCGGAGCGTGCCAGAGTCGCGCACCTTTATATACGAGCTGGCCGCCCGACGCAGCCCCACCGCATCACACGGGCGGAGCGGCACGCGGCGGCCGTCGGCCGTCGGCGGACTTGACAGCTTGCTTGATGCTCGCTAAACGCGCTAGCCGCAGCCAATGTTCGCATTTCTGGGAATAAATAGGTAACGTGTACAATAGAAGCAATTCAAACTGACGGTGTGCGCATGCTAATATGACGGTAATAGTGACATCAGGGTCAGTGCGCGGTAAACACAACCTTGGCGTGACAGCGGTGACGACACAAATCCGAACGAGAGGGTAACGGTCCAGCCGCTGTTCAACACTTTCCACCAGATGGCAGTGACGTGTGCTTCATTGGAGGCATGAAATATGGTCTGCTGAACGAGTAAGTTATACTTCGCAAACGCCTAAAGAAGCACCACTCACGGCGACCACGGTTCTTCGCCCGCACAAGACGCGTCGACCTTGGTAAGCCATGCCGTCAGGTCCGCCTCGCGCTCTGTCAGTTCCTGAATGTGTCCGAGCCAGAGCCGCTTCTGCCCTCCGGACATCATCCACGACCGTCCGACTGACTTCACATAGGCGACAAGGAACGCGTCGTCGCCGCGGTACCACGCGTCCAGGACCTCGCGAATGCGGCGGCGTTCTTCTCTGTGCTCCGAGACAGCATCAGGTCGTTCTTGCTCCACCACGCTATCGTCACGCCGCTCGTCCCCGCAGCCGCCCTCCGACGACTTCTCGCCCTCCCCCGCAGGCCGTGAGCGAGCCGCGCGCTGCATATCCTCGGCGGCCCAGCGCGCACGCACCGAGCGCTCGTAAGTGCGCGCGTCCCAGCGCGACACGCGATATGTACCCTTGCACTTGGTCCCGTGTGCTAGCGTGCCCTGGCAAACGAACCTTCCGGACGCGGCCTGTGGCGAGTTCGCGTGTGTGCATTCCCTGTTGTTGCAAAAGTACGAGGTGGGTGGCGCTCGAAGGATGCGTGTGCTGGGACGGCGCGAGGGATAGTGAGGAAGAGAAATGAAGGGAAGGGCTGGTGTGGCCCTTCGTTATTGTTTGGCTCGCATAACAAGACTTGCCACTCACAGAGTCGCAGTCCACAGACGAGCATGATATTAATATTGTCGTCACGAGCTATCGAAAAAGTCAAGATGAAACGAAAAAGCAGAACAGATTGAACATAGTGGTTGAAGTAAAAGAAGTGAGAGCCCCGCTCGTGCACAAAGGCAAGCTAGAAATACTCCGCGTGCATGGTCCCATCAGGCGGGCGTGGCCCGATCAGGCAATGCGCATCAACCCCGATGCCTTTGTGGCGTTTTGCACGATGTCATTACGGATCAACGAATCGAGTCCGAAGGATTCGGAGGTCGCCCTATTGGACTTTCGCTATATTTAGCGGGGATGAATCGGCGCGCCTCTCTTACCACCATTCATCCGCGGGCAATAGCCCCAAAGTGCTTTCATGGACTCGCCCCACGTCCTGCGAGATGCCATACGCTCAAGCGACCACCGAGAGACGGTAGGAGCAGGCTTAGGCACAACAGAGGTGCTCCCCTTTGCGTCATGGCAAGCTCGGAACATGGTACGTAGATTGCGTTTCGCCAAATCTATCCCAAGCTGAATTGCTGCCTTTAGCCATGACGCTGTCAGGAAGAGCGATGCGGCTGCAGGACCGCTGCGACTCGTTCAACTGCAAGCGATCCAGACGCTCGTATATCATTGGAAGCCATGCAAACCATCAGTGCCGTTCTTTTGGACACTACAGGTAATGGTATCAGATTATCCCACTGTGAAGGACAGCAGCGGCAGTGGAGGTGTCTATCCGCGACAGGACCGCCTATACGCAATAGCGCAGAGCGTTCTATACATTGAACTAATAGCTTGTAGAAGTTTTTCGCATCTAGATCTGGAATTTAGCAGTGCGAGGGTCGTATACGGGTCGACAGCAGGCTCTATTGTGTTTATATTCCTGGATAAGACGCACCTGCATGCGCCATGGGCATGCTAGTTGTCGGCCTGCACTTGTGGCTCCTAGGCGATGATAAGTCAGAATGGGGGTTGACAACTGTGTTTCTACTGGAACTACTCACCGCACCGTCGTCATTGTCCGAGCCGTTCCTGCCAGTGTCATTCGGTGGCCAGCAATCCACGTGGAATATCTTCCCGAGCTTCCTCCAAACTGCTTCTATTCGATCGTCCAATGATGTCTGCAGCGCATCGCGGCAGAGGGTACACGGCTTATGCTTCGCGTCCTCGTTCAAGAATCGGCTCCAAGAAGCCAGAGGATCCACATCGGTCACCATGTTGCGATTGAAGCAATGGCGGGTGAGCGACTTGACCGCCTTCCGACACTGGTCTTGGGTGCTACATGGTTGAGCGCCACGCGGAGTGCGGAAGTCGATAAATGATTTAAATAACTGCGCGCTCTCTTGGATGAGACGATGACGTGCAACGAGACAAAGCAGCATGTCGTCCTCGCTCAGACGACAACCTCTTCGTCGTAGGCGACGCCGCGGACCAGAAGCTCTTGGTCGCCTTGCCTGCAACACTCGTAAAATGCTACTGGAAGCATCTCGTGCGCCCCAAGGAGCCTGCATAGGTGGACAACAGCGATTGAGTCGGAATAACGAATGCATAACGAGTCGCATTTCGCCCCAGGGTCGTCATGGAATCCGGCCTGGCGCCATTCTTCCAAGCTGCTGGTCGGGTAATACAGTCTCAGCCGGTCTTTAGCCTCGTCGAGCACCTCTTGTACCTGATATTTCGCCGCAATGAGGGTGACCGACCGTAAGTCGTGAAACTTGATGACCTCCCTTTTGCGACCGAACCAGCCACTGGAAGACAGATGTAACACGCCACAGCCAGAGTCAAAGAAGCGCAACACACCTCTTGCCCCCATCATAGATAATCTGCAGCAGCTGCGCGAGCACGTCTCCGATGTCGTCCGTCCGCAACACCGGGCAGCCATCCAACCTCTCTTGTAGATTCGCGAGAGCGGCCGCGCTCAGGATGTCCTTGAATACTTTTGAATGGTGCGCGAGCACGCCAGAATGAAGCTTGAATGACTTTCCCCGGGCCGCGAGCACGACGTTTCCTTCGTCGAACCAGAGACTGGCATGGCGTTCGCCGACTACTGGCTGGGCCTCTTCTGGCGGAAGCGCGTCTTGGACGTGTTCTTCTACCTTTTGCCTCTTGTTCGGCGCGTCCTCGGTGTTGCTGCGACCGCGGCTGCGCGTGGATATCGTCATCGGGGAAGAGAGAGATGGGGAGCGCGACTCGGAGTAAGCTGTAGAGCGCTTGTAAGTCGCCTCAACGTGAGCGCAATTACCACTAGCACGCGATCGTAAGCAGAATTACCTGATGCCACAACTAAGATTGATCGGTTTCCGCTTTCATTCTCGACCACTACGATAAGGCTTCAGGCATGCCAGCAAGCACTCGCAGCAACTCTCACGCAGGGGAGGTGGATACTCCCAACAAGAAGAGAAAGATTCAGTCAGAGGAACGCATAGACTCGCTCCAGGCTGCGCCAGAGATCGGCGAGCGGTCCAAGGACCTCTGGTTTGACGACGGCAGTGTCATTGTCGCAGCCAAGGACAGGGCCTTCAAGGTACACGCAAGTGTCTTGATGCTTCGTTCTGAGGTTTTCAAAGAACTTTTGAACGGCCCGGCCCTTGCGCAGCTTCCAGAGAAGCTGGAGGGCTGCCCTGTCCTGCGCGTGGAGGACGAAGGCCGCGACTTCGAATATCTGCTCGCTATTATATACAATGGAGGAAACAGGCGAGCGTTAACTTCATATTATGAGTGTCTTAAGATGCTTATAACAATGTTGGGTGTAGTAACTGGCTGGACAGTCTAAGACCACCGATTGATTATACCGAGTTCCGCGTGGTCGTGGCTGTCGCCGTGAAATACAAGGTCAAGGAAATCATCAACGAGCCGATATACAGGCTGTCGCAAGTATTTCCTACAGGCAGCGTAGACGACTGGGACCCGATCTTCGACCTGACGGCGACAGACACCTATCGCGCTTGTCAGAGACGACTGCATCGACGTC